GGCAGCATAGAAAATTTGTTCTTCGGAATTGGATTCAGAGTGCCCAGCAATCCAGGCACTTGACCCCTGTAGCCAAGAGAGAGGAAACTTTGGCTACTGCTCCAGGTGGCAGCAGACCTTGGCATCATCCCTGTGGCCCTGGCTTTAGGTGCATGGAGAATGCAAGCGTCCTGAGGTTAAAGAGGATTCCACCCAGATTTCAGAAGGCCTGGGAGGCCAGGCAGTGTGCCCCTGAGGGGGTAGTGCGTCAAGCTGTGTGTGTGAAGCAGAAGGTGCCCTGGAGACCTCAGAAGTTCAGAAAAGCCAGGACTGTGGATCATCTAAGGAAAGCTGCAAGGAGGGAGCAAAGCAGGCCTAAGAGAGAAGCCGTGGAAGGTGTAACCACTGGAAGTGCCATAGGGGTGGACTCATGTAAACCCTTTGGAGCTCACAATGTGCCACAAGTTGCTTTAGATGCTGCATGTGGAATTACAGGACATAATGTTAGCCCTGCTGGATTTTGGACTTGCTTTGGTCCCAATGCTCTGTATCCCCCTGTTTGTACCTTTTGGAATGGTACTGCTTATTTTGTGCCACTGAATGTTGGAAGTGTTTAACTTTTCATTTGTACAGGGCTCACAGCTAAGAGTTTGCTTTACATCTCGGAGGAGACTTGGGACTTGGACTCTTCAGCAATGCTGTATCTGTTACTACTTTGGCAACTCTTGCAGATGGACTAAATGCCTTTTGCATAAGGAGATGTGCATGAGTCTTTAGGGGGTGAAATGTTATGGTTCTAATGGAATACAATGTCTTTGTACCTGGAAACTGGTTTAAAGAAATGTGTCTGGTTGCCAAGTTGACAAGGGGTGGAGTGTTATGGTTGATATATTGTGTCAACTTGGCGAGCGTAGAGGTTTGGCTAAGTGACTCAGCAGGAAGCCAGGGTGCTTACTTTGTATACATCCTGAGCCTGTGGAAGAGGACCGCATGGAAATTATGTGAGAGCTACATGTCACTTAGGTGGGGGTAGCCTGTTTATAATGTAAGGCAGGGAAAGAAGCTGCTTGCCGAGATTCCTCCCTTTTGCTCTGGCTGCTTTGCTGTTCGGCTGCCATTCCCCGCTTTGCTCTTGTTGCTTTGCTACCTTCTGCCTTAGAGCCAGCCAAGTATGGACTGAAACCTCCACAAACTGTAAGCTAAACACACCTTTCCTTGCTTCATTTTGGGCATTGGGTATTTTGTCTCAGCAACGAGAGAAAAGTAACCAAGACAACAGTATATACAACTAAACAATAATTCCGTGATACAGTGAAAACAGTCGTACAAGGGACATTTAAAAGTGATAAACTCTCACATCAGGAAAACAGAACAAGCTTCAATAAACAACCTAATGTTGAACCTCAAACTTCTAGAAAAAGAAGAACAAATCAAACCCTAAACTCATAAAAGGGAGGAAATTATAAAGATCAGAAATTAATGTAACTAAGACTAAGAAAACAATACAAAGAATCAATGAATTGAAAAGTTGGTACTTTCAAGAATAAAATTGATAAACAATTAGCCAACCTCATCAAAAAGAAAAGATTCAAGCAATTAGAAATCAAAAGGAGGAAATCACAACAGATCCTACTGAAATCCAGAAGATTATCAATACCTAATATAAAAACCTATATTCTAATAAGATGGAAAACACAGAAGAAGTGGACAGATTTCTAGACACAATCAAATTACCAAAACTAAATCAAGAAGATATAAAAATTGTAAATAACCTGATATCAACCAATGAAATTTAAAATGTAATTTAAAAAGTACCAACACAGAAAAGCCCAGGCCCTGACAGATTCACTGTTCAATTCTACAACAAATTTAGAGAAGAACTAATGCCACTAGTGCTGAAACTATTAAAGGTAACTGAAAGGGAAGCAATACTTACAAAATCATTCCTACAAGCAAGTATTACCCTGATTTCAAAATCAGAAAAAACCTAACCAAACAAGAAAACTACATGCCAATCTCCCTAATGAAAATAGATGCAAAAATCCTCAATAAGATACTGGTGAATAGAACACAGAAAATCAAGAATATTGTGCATCATGATCAAGTTCAATTCATCCCACAGATTCAGGAATGGTTCAACATAAGCAAATCAATTAATGCAATATACCATATGAACAGAATCCAAGACAAAAGTCACATGATAATCTTAATCTTAATGCAGAAACAGCGTTTGACAAAGTCCAACACATATTCATGAAAATAAACCCTACAGAAAATTGGAATGGATGGTCTCTACCTCAATCTCAGAAAAGTCATCTATGACAAACTAACAGCTAAACTCAAAATTTTCACTCTAAAACTAGGAATAAGAAAAGGATTCCACTATCACCACTCATTTTCAATATAGTTCTGGAAACATTAGCCAGAGAAATTAGATGAGAGAGAGAAATAAAAGGAAAAATGATAGGAAAGGAAGAAGTTAAATTATCATTACTTGCAGATGACATGATACTCTACATAGAAAACCACAAAAACTCCACCAAAAGACATCTAGATTTAATAACCAAATTCAGTAGTGCAGCTGGATACAAAGTCAACACTCAAAAATCAATAGCATTCCTGTACAGGAACAACAAACTCACAGAGAGAGAAACTAGGGAAAGCATACGCTTCACTATGACATTCAAAAAATTGAAATATTTAGGAATCAACCTAACAAAGAAGTAAAAGATCTATACATTGAAAATTACAGTACTCTGAAAAAGGAGATGGAATAGGATTATCAGAAAATGGAAAGGTATTCCCAGCCCCTGCTCATGGGTAGGAAGAACAATTATAGTGAAAATGGCCATACTCCGAAAATTGTTGTACAGATTCAATACCATCCAGTTTAAAATACTATTAGTATACCTCACAGATCTAGAGATTTCCTACAATTCATTTGGAATCAGAAGAGACCTAGAATAGCAAAGGCAATCCTGGGCAACAAAGCCAAGGCAGGAGGTATCACAATCCCCGACTTGAAATTATAGTACAATGCTACTGTGATAAACTCAGCATACTACTGGCAAAAAAAACAGACCGGAGGATCAGTAGAACAGAGTAGAAAATGAAGACACAACTATAAACACATTCAGCCACCCTATATTTGACAAAGAATGCAAACATGTCCACTGGCAGAAAGACAGTCTCTTTAGTAAATGATGCTATGGCTTTCGACATGCCGAACACCAAAACTAGACCCTACCACTATGCACAAAATTAAAGTCAAAATGGATCAGAAATCTAAAACGTACAACAGAAACACTAAATCCACTGGACAGAAAATAGGCAGTAATCTTGAAGACATAGGTATATGTGGAAACTTTATGAATAAAACCCAGACTGCACAGGAAACACTTCAAAGAATCAACAAATGGATCTCACCCTATTAAAAAGCTTTTGCACAATAAAAGAAATCACCAACGATGTGCAAAGACAACCCACAGAGTGGGAAAAAAGGATTGCCAGTTGTCCCACAGACAAAGGACTTATAGCTAAACATATAAAGAATTGAAGAAAATCAGGCCTCCCAAATTCAAAGACCCAATCCAAAAATTGGCATCTGAGATGAATACACACTTCTTAGATGAAGAAATACAAATGGCAAATAAATATATGAAAAACTGTTCAACATCATTGGTCATCCAAGAAATGTGAATTAAAACAACACTGAGATTTCATCTCACTCCAGAAAGAATGGCTACCGTCAAGAAATCAGCCAATAATGCTAGTGGCACTGCAGGGAAAATGGAACCCTTCTCCACTGTTGGTGGGAGTGTAGACTGGTGCTACCACTGTGAAAATCAGTGCAGAGATTCCTTAAAAAACTAGTATTAGATGTTCCATTCAACCCAGCTTTTCCCTTTCTGGGTATCTTCCCAGAATTCAAAGCATACCACAATGATATATGTGCACCTATGTTTATAGTAGCACAATTTGTCATAGCTATATCTTGGAAACAACCCAAATGCCCATCAACTGAGGAATGGATAGAAAAGATTTGTTTTTTTAAATGTCTACTGTAGTACTAATGAGCCATAAAGATGGATAAATTCAAGACTTTTACAGGATACAATTGGATACAATTGGATACAAATGGATACAATTTGAGACCAAAGTCATACATGAAATAAATCAGACTTGTATGTGTAAACATTGTATTGTCTCCCTACTGGAAGAAGCTGAACAAGTAAGTAAGATCCAACATGTACAACACATGCTGTGAATTGGGAAGAAACTGTTTAAAAGAAAAGAAAATCTAACGGGGGAAGGGGGAAAGGGGAAATGAAGGAAGAGAAAAGAGAAATATATACATATATGCAAGATAGTTATACAGCTAGTTTCTCTTGGTTCATTCAAAAGAAATGTCTATGCTAATACTGTCTGGACATTATATGCCTATATCTTGTACTCTGAATAACTCCCATGTAGACAACAATATGCAACATACTAATTATTGTTACCGCCCTACTAGTCTGTTTTGACACTCTGTTTTATTGTTATTTTTACTTTTTTCTGTTTAAAATAAAAAAAAAAACAGGAAAATAGAAGTTTTCTTCTTGTTTGAGATATGGTAGGCATAGCAAAAAAGGAGGAAGCAGGTTTTAGAAGATATTCTTAGTAGCTTTAGAGAGTCATTTGGCTCCCCTCAATATAAGATTAGACACCTAATTCTTCTACATTGTTCTCTATACTTGAACTTTTAAAAATATTTTACCATGACGAAAAGACAAATGTGAAAGAAAGCAGATGATTCTAATATACATTTATTGTTATCACTGAAATTTTATATTCCTTATCAGTAATAATATTACATATTTACATTCATACTGCAATGAGACTGATGTACTTTATAGGTACATCACAAAATAAGAAAATTTATATAATAATTTAGATTACAAAAATTTCTCATGTATCTTACTTGTGAATTATCACTTGTGTTTTCTTGGCGTTTCTCTGGGACTATGATTTGTAGAAATGAATTCTGAGAACCTAAGTAATTAAAAAAAAACAGTCATGCTTTAAATTTGACTAAATCTGTTTCATTAAATTTACAAGATTTACTTATGAACAAAATGGATATCTCATCACCATCACCTTGTATTCCTATAAAACCCGAGTGTTCACTTTATCAGCACAGATACTGAAGTTCGAATGCTACAGAGATTACTGTGGCTTTAAGCAAAAATGACAGGGAAATTAGTGAACTGTTACATATTCAAAATAAAACAAAACCTTGTAAGAGTTTAATTCAAGAAACAGACAAATTATTTATAAAACACCAGAAAGAAAAACCAAGAGAAGGTATTCAACAGCCACAAAATTTCCTGTTCTTGGAGAAAAAGAACAGACATATAAAAATCAGTTGATCAAAGCCATGTTTCAAGGCAATCTTCCTGTAATAAGATTTGAAAGAATAGACTAGAAAAGACACCATATGTCATGAATGACTGATAATGATTAAACAAAACTGAGACAAATTCTACTAAAGTTACTGGATTTCTAAGGTATAAATTCTGTGGGAATATGAGAAATAAAAGAAATCATATTGGGCATATGAGGTGAAAAGCAGGCCAGCTTGAGTACTCAATGTTAAAAATCTGAAGAACAATGTCTAAAACAATGTAAAAGAAAAGAGACTGAACATTTAAGAAGTTCATACCCTCAATAACCTGCCTCTTCAGCCAGGCCCCACCTTCTGACCTCAGACTCAGTGGCTGAACTCACCAGCATATGATTCCACTAATAAGTACAGAGCTGCTCTGGATCCAATCTCTTTCACAAGCCCCTCTTCTGAGGCTCTGGTGCAATATTCTCAGTCTAAACCATAATATTCCAACCATGGCCTGCAAAAGAGTCATGCATATTGCCTTATGCAAAATGATTTAGTCCATCTCTGAGAGTCCCTAAAGTACTAACAGTTTTAGCAGTGCTGAAAAGTTCAAGTCCAAAGTTTCCTCTGAGATTCAAGGCAAACTCTTAGCTGTGAGCCCTTATAAAAATTTTTTAAAACGTTAAACACATCCACCATTCAATAGGATAGGATAAACATCCCCATGACCAAAGGCAACAATAGTAGATTAGATAGGAATCAAATCAATGCTGAAACCCAGAAGGGCAAACATTAAATCCTGTAGCTCCACATCCAGCACTTTTGCCTTCACTCTCACAGCTTCATGCACTGCCCTCTCATGGGCACACTGCCTGGCCTCCCAGATATTCCTCTGAAATCTGGGTAAAAGCCTTTCTGGCCCCACAACTCTTCAATTGTGCATGCCTATAAAACTAGCACATCGATGATGCCACAGTCTGCTGCCAGCTCAGGATGATGCCATAGTCTGCTGCCATGAGGACCCATTGGTCATATGGCTGCAGAAGCCTCTAAATGCCTGGATGCTTGAGTTCTGTGAGCCAAATCCCAAAAAAACAATTGCCTAGGAGCATTTTCTCAAGCAGAGTACCCTAGGGTTCTTTTCTCAAAGCAAAGTCTTTCAAGCAAAGTACCCTTGAACCTGTACATGGAGGGGTTTTGCTGACTTCTGAGGTACCCTCAAGGGATCTTTCCTACTGTCCTAATACAAATTACATGGCTTTTTTTTAATGTTAATCTTTTCAGCAGTCTCATTCTCCAAGGCATTTGTAAGTAGTTTCTGACCAAGATAAAAAAATTTTCAAATGGGCTTTTCCTTTCTGTTTATTCAGTACAAACCTCACTAAAAGCATTGAGTACCCATGCTGCAGCCTGATCTTTGGGATTCTTTGAAATTTCTTCCACCAGATTGGTCTGCTACTCTTAATCTTAGCTCCCTGCAAAGTCCCAGTGCATTAACAAAATACAGACAAATTTTCTGCCACAGCCTAACATACATGGTTCTGGGTTCAGTTGTGTATGGAGTCCTTGTTCATTGCTAAAACCACTGGAGTTTGCATTTGAATTTACTCCTCCTTTACTATTTGCATTTACTTCACCATTCTGGTCCTCTGAGCTCTAAACAGAATCCTCCATTAACTTGGCCAGCAGTGTTCTATGGCTTCTCTAGCTAGCATCTCCAAACTTTTCCAAATGTTTTCCATGAACTAATGGCTTCTATACCACAAGATCAGGTAGTCACACATCTACCCTCACTCTCAGTACCAAAGTATGTCTTACTTTCTCCTTACTGAGATGCAACACCCAACACGTGCAACTTAAAGGAGAAGAGATTTGTTTGGGTTCATGATTGAAATCCAGAGATGGAGTCCATAATTCTCCAAAGGAAAAATGGTGTGTTAGAAGGGTCTGGTAGAGGAAAACTGATCACACCATGATGGGCAGGAAACAAAGACAAAGGAAAGGAGCCAAGTAAGGAGACACAGCCTTCTAGATCATGCCCTAGTGCCTCAGCTCTTCCAGCCAGGGGCCACTTTATAACATCACACTCAGCTGCTGAACCTACCCGTGAACGATTCCACTAATGAGTACAGGGCCCCAGGACCAACTCACTTTCCATAACCTCTGACTGTGAGCTAATGGAGCTCAGTGGAACACTCTCAATCTAAACTCTAAAAGGAGAAAAGCTGAAAGCCTTCCCTCTAAAATCAGGAACAAAGCAAAGATGTCCATCATCATCAATCTTGTTCAGTATAGTTCTTGAAATATTACCCAGAGCAATCAGGCAAGAGAATGGAAGAAAAAAGATATGTATAGGTAAGAATAACTTAAACTAATCATTACTTGCAGATGACATGATTCTCTACATAGAAAACCCAAAATACTCCACTAAAAGACTCCTAGAATAAATACCAAATTCAGTATACAAAAACAACACATAAAAATCAACAGAATTTATACACACTAATTTATTTCTTTCTTGAGAAAGAAATTAGGAAGATACAATTCACAATAGCATGGAGTAAAATTAAATACAAGGAATTAATCTAAGGAAGTAAAACACCTCCACAATAAAAATTACAACACTCTGAAAAAGGATACTGACAACAGAAAATGAAAAGGTATCCCCTGTTCCTGTGTAGAAAAAAATAGTAACAAAATAACCATACTTTGTTAACTATTATACAGATTTGACATAATTGCACTCTCTGGGACAGTAGGGTCTGAGACAGGAATGGGAGTCTGCGCTCTGCACTTCTGCCAGTGTCTCAGAACTCAAGGACATAGATAAAATTGGAAGTCAAACACTAGAACTTCCTGAAATGAAAAAAAAAAAAAAAAAAAAAAAGGAAAAGACCATGGAGAAAATAATCTCTCAAGCACAGAAAGAAATAATGCTTAAAAATAGATATTAGAGGGCCTGTGAGAGGAGTGTAATGACACAGGCCTTTGTCGAGCAGACTGATCAGAACCCCAAGACCTGAGACCCAGGACAACAGCTGGGCCCTAGGCACACGGGTGCACACATGCCTTTGGAGGGCGAATTAATTAGTGAGACATGGAAGTGTCTGAAACATCAGTGAGGAGCCAGCAGTTGGACTCTGGAGAACTCCACCAACAGAAGGTCAGCCCAAGCCCCCTTGAGCCCAGCCCAAGCCCCCACAACAGAGGCCAAGATCAGCTCCATACCCAGCACATTTTGGGGATTAAATATGGACACTATCACAGAACTGTAAATACCAGAGGTATTTTACTACTTTCATTCTCCCTTGTTTGTCAGATTGGCCATTCCTTTCCTGTATGGCTGGATGTCATCTTGGTTTGTTCTATATTCTATAGTTTTTTAAATATATTTTCTCTTTTTTTCCTCTCCTCTCTTACTCTGATCTCCTTTTTCTTTCTTCTTTTCCATTTTGTTCTCTTTCTTCCTTGTTTTTTTCAGTGTTTAGGTTTCTTACCTTTTCATTCTCTTCTACAGAGCCCCACTCTCTTTCCTCAATGACTTCTTGAATTTAAACTTTCAAGTGAGTAAACATTGTCTCTGCCCTTTCTGACTACTCCTTTATATTCTATTTCTTTCTTCCCTGCCTGTGTCCTCCAGTTTCCCCAAAACTCAGGAAATGATCCTTGAATCTCCAGCCTTGACTCTACTATATTTGACCTCACTCATCACTTTGGCCTATCCTTTACCCATCTTAAAGCCCCTCCCCCATATAAGGGTAAAATCACGTGAGGAAGGGAAAAATCACTGCATAAAAGTACACAATATATGCTTGATTTTGTTATATAATTTTAGAGTTTGCTCCTGTGGTCAGAGATAACAGATTAATGGTAACTATAGTTTATCAGTAGTTAGGCTGTACTTGAAACTACTGTTATTACTAACTGTACTACTTTAACCAGGATGTCACACATGTTATAAACAGTTAATCTGTTTTTCTCCCCTGTATGATAACATTGTGACTGTATGAGATCATAATCATCAACACAGCCCAGTACCAAAGGATTAGGAGTACAGGTAAACAGTAATCTTGCATCCTTCACAAAATAGGAGGATATGGTCTTGGGAGAGCTATAAGAAACCACCTAGAAGCAACCATCTAGAAGAAAACATTTAGAAGACAACTTTGAAGAACAGATATCCTCTAGGGAAACCTCAATATTAGCAATAAAGCTATATATCATCTGAAACTGGCAAGTATCAACATAGAAAACAAAATAAAAAGAGAAAATAGAAAATGACAAGACACAGAAGCAAAATGCAACCCCAGACCTCAGCCCACCCAGGACAAGGCCAGAACACGAGGACATAGATAAAATTGGAAGTCAAACACTAGAACTTTCTGAAATGATGGCTGAAGTTAAAAAAAAAAATGGAAAAGACTATGGAGAAAATAATCTCTCAGGCACAGAAAGAAATAATGCTTAAAAATAGGTATTAGAAAAGACAAAGATATTAGATAAGATGTTAGAGAAGACACACATAAAAGAATAGATGAGCTTAGAAAAATGAGGGAACAAAAAATGTCTAAATAATAATAATAAAAAGAAAGGTATCTTAAAAATAGCAAGAGACCCTAAAAATCAATCCAACAGCTGCAAGATGAAGCAAAGAAAAATAACATAAGATTCAGTGGGTCCAGTGAGAAAACTGGAGACAGCACAAATGCCATTAAAAACACTCTTCACAAAAATAATGGCAGAAAACTTCCCAAGCATGGATATAGAATTTGACATACAAACAAATGAAGCACATAGAACTTCCAACAGTCATGACCAAAATAAAACTACACCAAGACATATAATAATCAAGATTCCAGAAATTCAGCAGAAGAACAGAGTATTAAAAGCTGTTAGCAAAAAGAAGCAGATCACCTATAAAGGAAATCCCAGCAGAATCAGGGCAGATTTCTCAACACAAACCCTCAGGTCAAGAAGATCTTGGAGTAAAGTATTTCAAGTCCTGAAAGAAAACAACTTCCAACCCAGATTGATGTACCCTGCAAAACTATATTTCAAAATTAATGGACAAGTAAGATTCTTCCACGACAAAGAACTGAAGAAATTCATGACCAGCAAACCAACATTACAAAGAGTACTGAAAGATATTCTAGAGAGAGATAAAAATGACCACAATTCTAAGAACAACAACAGGAATAAACCTCAAGGCAGGGCAAGCAGTTTAACAGAGGCAAAAAGTAGGGAATCAACAGTAGGAAAATAACATGACAAAAATAAGCCAATACACACCAGTTATAACTATCAATGTAAATAGCCTCAATTCACCAATCAAAAGTAACAGACTGGTAGAGTAGATCAAGAAACAATGTCCAACATACAAGAAACATATTTAACACAAAAAGAAATTCATAGACTGGAAACCAAAAGATGAAAAAAAATCTTCCATGCAACAGTAACCCAGAAAAGAACATGGGTAACTATTCTTTCTGCAGACAATGTCAACTTCAAACCAAAATGATCAAAAGGGATAAAGAAGGATATTACATACTTGTTAGGGGGAAATTTCAAGAGGAGGGGATAATAATCATAAAAATATATGCAACAAATACAGGAGCACCCAACTACATAAGACAATTATTAACAGACATGAAAAATCAAATAAGCAATAACACAATTGTAATGGGAGACCTCAATAACCCATTACACAAGGAGATAGAACAACTAAACAAAAAATCAGCAAAGAAATAACAGAACTGAACCAAACTTGTGAACAAATGGACTTAGTATATGTTTTCAGACTGTTCCACCCAACATCATCAGAATACACATTCTTCTCAGCTGCACATGGAACATCCTCTAAAATAGACCATGCACTAGCTCAAAGAACATGCTTAAGTAAATGCAAAGGAACTGAAATTATCCCATGCAGATTATCTGACCATAGTGCAATGAAGTTAGAAATTAATGCAAAAGAAACCACAAAACCTCCATAAACACATTGAAATTAAATAACTCCCAACAATCAACGGTTCACAGAAGAAATGAAAGAAGAATCGAAACAATATCTACAACTAAATGATACTGTAGGTACCACATACCAGAACTTAGGGGAAGTAATGAAAGCAGTCCTAAGAGGGAAATTTATAGTGGTGAATTCTCACATCAGTAAAACAGAATGAGCACAAATAAACAACCTATGTTATTCAACCTAATGAATAAATTATCATTATTCACAGATAACATGATACTCTACACAGAAGACCCCCAAAACTCCACCAAAACACTTATAGAGCTGATAATCAAATTCGGTAGCATAGCTGGATACAAAGTCTATACTCAAAAATCAATAGCATTCCTGTACACAAACAACAGACTCATTGAGAGAGAAATTAGGGAAACTATACCTTTCACAACAGCATCCAAACGAAATGAAATAATGAGGAATTAATCTAATAAAGGAAGTAAAAGGTTTATATATTGAAAATTACTGTACTCTGAAAAAGGAGATCACAAAATAGAAAGATACCTTTTGCTCATGGAAAGGAAGAAACAACATAGTGAAAATGCCACACTCCCAAAATTGTTTTTTTGTTTGTTTGTTTGTTTTTGGTTTTTCTTGGTACTGGGAATCGAACTCACCACCTTGTGCTTGCTAGGCAGGCGCTGTGCCACTGAGCTAAATCCCCAGCCCCTTCCCAAAATTGTTATACAGATTTAATGCACTCCCAATCAAAATACAATTACCATACCTAACAGACTTAGAGAAAGCATTCTTAAAATTCATCTAGAACCAGAAGAGACCTACAATAGCAAAGGCAATTCTGGGCAATAAAGACAAGGCAGGAGGCATCCCAGTCCCTGACTTAAAATTATACTACAAAGTTACTGTGATAAAATCAGCATAGTAGTGGCAGAAAATCAGACCTGTGGATCAGTGGAAAGGATTAAACAAAGCAGACAGAACTACAAACACACTCAGCCACCATATCTTTGACAAAGGGGCTAAACACGTTCACTGGAAGACAGATAGCCTCTTTCATAAATGGTGCTGGAAAAACTGGCTGTCTACATGCTGAAGACTAAAACTAGACCCATGTCTATCTCCATGTACTAGAGTCAAAATGGATCAAAGATCTAAATATTAAAACAGAAACACTAAATGTACTGGAAAAGAAAGTAGGTAGAAATCTTGAAGACATAGGTGTAGGCAGAGACTTCATGAGCAAAACCCAAACTGCACGGGAAACACTTGAAAGAACAACTAGGATCTCATCCTATTGAAAAGCTTTTATACATCAAAAGATATCACCAATAAAGTTAAAACACAGCCGATAGAGTGGGAAAAAATTTTAGCTAACTATTCCTCAGATAAAGGACTTATATCTAGAACATATA